AAGGTAAATCTTGTTGAAGGTCTTAACGAAACCACAAAGCACAAAGCCGGATGAAAATTTTGAATGGGGTTTGAGTTCGAGATCATCACTGCAATAGACTATAGTCATGCCTAATAACAACTCGAGCAACCACTGCAATGGAGCACACAATTTTAAGATTGTTTTAGAGCAGCACGAACGACGCGTGTGGTCAAACAAGCTTAGATTATGTGCGAGTGATGTTTGGTTGGCAAAGGTAAATCTCATTGAAGGTCTGACGAAACCATGTCTAATAACCACTTGAGCAGCACGAACGACACGTGTGGTCGAACAAGCTTAAATTTTGTACAAGTGATGTTTGGTTGGCAAAGGTAATTCTCGTTGAAGGTCTGACGAAACCACAAAGCCGCATGAAAAATTTGAATGGGGCATGAGTTCGGGATCATCACGCCGATTGAAGAAGTACGACTGTGACACACTGAAAGAAGAAAAAAGAAGGAAAAAAATTCATTCGTGAGTGACCGGATTCAAACCTGCGCGAGCAAAGCCAAAATGATTTCTAGTCATGCCCGATAACCACTCCGACACACCCACCCTGCCATAATCTTAGTCATGTCTAATAACCACTCGGGCAACCCTTACAATGGAGCACAAAGCCGGATGAAAAATTTGAATGTTGGGATCATCATGCTGTTTGAAGAAGTACGACCGCGAAACACTAAAAGAAGAAAAAAAGAAAAAAAAAAAACTCATTCGTGAGTGGCAGGATACGAACATGCGTGGGCAAAGCCCACATGATTTCTAGTCATGCTCGATAACCACTCCAGCGCACCCATCCTACCATAATATATAGTCATGCCTAATAACCACTCGAGCAACCCCTGCAATGGAGCACAAAGCCGGATGAAAAATTTGAATGTCGGGATCATCATGCTGTTTGAAGAAGTACGACCGTGACACACTAAAAGAAGAAAAAAATTCATTCGTGAGTGGGCAGGATACGAACCTGCGTGGGCAAAGCCCACATGATTTCTAGTCATGCTCGATAACCACTCCGGCACACCCACCCTACCATAATATATAGTCATGCCTGATAACCACTCGGGCAACCCCTGCAATGGAGCACACAATTTTAAGATTGTTTTAGAGGAGACGCGTGTGGTGATGAAAATTAAAATGAAAATAAAACATTCATTCATGAGTGGCAAAGATTCGAACTTGCGTGAGCAAAGCCCACATGATTTCTAACCATGCCTGAGATAACCACTCCAACACACCCACCCTGCCATAATCTGTAGTCATGCCTAATAACCACTCGGGCAACCCCTGCAATTGAGTGAAAATTAAAAAAAATTATTCATGAGTGGCAAGATTCGAACCTGCGCAAGCAAAGCCCACATGACTTCTAGTCATGCCTGATAACTACTCCAGCACACCCACCCTTCCATAATCTTAGTCATGCCTAATAACCACTCGAGTAACCCCCTACAATGGAGTAAACAATTTTAAGATTGTTTTAGAGCAGCATGAATGACACGTGTGGTCGAAAAAGCTTAAATTATGTGCAAAAAAATTCATTCATGAGTGGCAGGATTCGAACCTGCACGAGCAAAGCCCACATGATTTCTAGTCATGCCCGATAACCACTCCGGCACACCCACCCTACCATAATATATAGTCATGCTTAATAACCACTCGGGCAACCCCTGCAATGGAGCACACAATTTTAAGATTGTTTTAGAGGAGA